GATGCGATGTCTTGCCGAGTAAACTTAGAATTAACCCCTAGGTCTTTTTTAATTTTCAATCCTTTGTATATACCCTAAAGCAAAATAATTAATGAAATAAATAAAAAAAATAAACAAAAGGTTCCCGTAGAGTACTACGGAAGTTTAGGGTGCTAATACCTTCCCTAAATTTAACCAACCCCCGAACCTTAGATCTCTCCCTTTTAGGTTTTTCCTTTCTTTAACCTTTCCTTCGGATAAATCAAAGACCGGTTGTAAATGAATTAAGATTCAAGTTAATCAATAGCTTGACATCCAAATTTCACCGCAACACTTTCGATTGATCGGGTAAGGGTGTGAAACTTTATTATTCTATCAATGTGTATAATCATGTATGATTTAGTTGGATTGTTTTGGATTGTTGGTAGTTTTTCTACACTTTCCATTTTGGGTTGAATTTGGTTTATTCGATAGAAATCGTTGTCTAACGGTTAGAATCGTGATTAGATGACGTAGATTAGTCGATATATGTTAGACTAAGGCTACTGGATATGAGTTGGAGTTCATCGGGTGACTTTATCGGTGGTTTTGGATTCTGAACAGCGGGGAGAAGTGGAAATCGCAGACGCTCGCTAGCAGTTCGCTAGGCGAGCAGGTTGCGAATGGTCGCTGGTAGTTCGCTAGGCGAGTGCGCAGCGAACGGTCCCAGACTTGGGACAGAATGGTTTTAATGTCCCTCGCTGGCAGCGATGGAAGTAGCGAGGAGCTCGCTGTGGCGAACGGTGTAGCGAACGAGGTCTGTAGCCTCTATTCTGGCTCGCTAGCAGTTCGCTAGGCGAGGAGGTAGCGAACGCTCGCTAGGCGAGCGTGTAGCGAACGTAGCAGGATGAATTTTACTTGTCGCGGGGTGCTGTCGTGGCTTGGGGTTTCGGTTGCGATCAACCCTTCTTTGATTTAGTAATTTATATGCTGGGTTGTGTTGTGCTGTGGGTAGCCGTATGGCGTGAATCCTAGATTATGAATTGTGGCCGCTTGGGCAATTATGTGCATTGTTTAGCCTGATTAAAAATCTATGATGTTGTATGAATATATGCGATGAATGTGTAGAATGCATGAGTATGTTTGTAAACATGTGTGCATTTTCAAGAGTGTCATGAGTCATGTTGCATGTGAAGCATCACGGTATGCATTCTTGTGTCGATTGATTCCTCGGTGAATCTACAGAACCTCGTGTGCCCTTGTGGGGTGTGAGCGATGGTTAATTATTGATTCCTCGGTGAATCTGCAGAACCTCGTGTGCCCTTGTGGGGTGTGAGCGATGGTTAATTATTGATCCCTCGGTGGATTTGCAGAACCTCGTATGTTACGATGGTTATTTTGATTCCGCGTAGAATCTGCAGAACCTCGTGTGCCCATGTGGGGTGTGAGCGATGGTTATTTGGTTCTTCAATTGTACCTGCTGAAATGAGTCGGTATCGCATTTGCATCTGCATAGAGTCGTGTGTCGGTCTCTATGAGTTGCATGTTGACATCCTGCATGGTGTATGGTGAATGAACATAATTGTAAATGTTTATATGAATTGTTGATGATTGGCATGATTGGTATGCTTGAAGACACATGTATGTGTGAATATATGAATATGTATGTTTTGTGTGTTTATGAACCGATATAAACATTGTTGACGCATATTGTATATGCATGATGTTCTATTTGTAAATAGATAATGTGAATACATTGCGATGTACGGTATGAAAAGGTGAGTTGCGGTGAGAATGCGAAAGACGTATATTGGGTATTATGTATATATATATATATATATATATATATATATATATATATATATATATATATATATATATATATATATATATATATATATATATATATATATATATATATATATATATATATATATATATATATATATATATATATATATATATATATATATATATATATATATATATATATGTTTTTATGCATTGTTATTATGATATCGTTTCTCACCCTTCTGTTGTTTCTTTTAATGCTCTATGAGGCATTGCAGACTAGATTGCTGGAGGTATTTTTGTGAAGCGTGGCTTCTTCCCTTTTTGGTCGGTCGGCTCTGATATGTAGCACCGGGTAGATAGGATTTTTTTTGATTCTTTTGTGATACATATGAGTATGTATCTGCTGTTGATATGTTTTGTAAAACATGATGAATGATAACTGTATGTGTGAATACAAGTTTGGTGAATTATGAAATATTTGGATATTTCCGCCTTTGTTCTAAATATTTCTTGTGGGTGTTATCCCGTTGTTGCATATCTGTTGAGCAGGTGTTGTATGTGTTGGAATTTTTATGTTAATGTGATATTTCCCTTTTATGCCATGTTGCAAATGTACTCTGATGAAATTTTAAATTTATGCCTAAATGATTGATTGTATTATTTGGGGGCATAGAAAGGGGGTGTTACATAAGGCTCCTGAACAATGTGGTATCAGAGCCTGTACATAAAGAAGGGGGTGCATATGGTATGAATATAATAAAGAGAGCGGGTAAGGGAGAAATCACTTAAATACGGAAACACCTGAACCAAACACTCAGCCTATTACTACTACTTCTTCTTTATCGCTTCCTAAACTATGTAAAAAGACTGATTCTCATAAAATAGAAAACCTTATTGAGTACTCTCATGTTCCTGAAGATGCTCAAATTTCTGAAACAATACCTACTCTGTTAAGTCTTCACAACATCTTTAAAAGACAAAGAAGTGTTACCAGATCCATCCGAAATCTTATCTCTACAAATCTCCCTCATATGAAAGAATATGTCAAGTCATTTAGACTAGACCAATGCAGCCTAAGAGCTACAAACCAGGAGCAGTACGTAGATTATGAGATTCTTCAATATCTCATAAACCACTAGAAAACTGAAAGGTATACAACCTTACACTTTGGGGCTATCAGACTCATCTTTTCTCTTCATGGAAGGAAGAACCAACCCGTCTTTTACAAAATAGCTCTATTGAACTCTGGCTACCTCCACTATGAAAATGATGTGATAGGAACTGTTCTAACTACACTTCATGCAGGAAGTGTTGTCCTCACCATCTTCTCAAACTATAACGTGAGTCTTAATGATCATACTTTATCCACAAGACTGAAAGTACAAATCCAGATCACCAGATCCGACCAAGTGCCAGAAGCTATGTCAGCTACCCTCCATCACCAGATAATATACCACTTACAAAATCACTTGATAGATCTTCCTCTCTCAAGATGCTCTTCTGATTCACTATTAGTTGTCACCAACATAGAAGAAGACATAACCCCCATAGTTCATATTCTGAGAAAGATCACAAGGGAAGAATTAACTCAACTAATTCCCCTTGAATGGATAACCAACTATGAGAGACTCCATGTTGACAAAAGACATATCCAATCTCAAGAGGATACTTTCAGGACATCCGTTGACAAGACAATCAAGACGATCTTCAAGAAGTCAAACGAAGGATCAAGCTCAATATCTTTGATCTTCCAGAGAATGATGACCCAACAAGTTCTTAAACAAGACTGGTCTCCTGTATATGTTGTTACAACAGAAGAAAAACTCATCTACACCGATAAAATAGATGGCCACTTCATTTGGGATGTTGATCCAACAAGATGTGACCCGGATTGTGACTGATGGATGCACGATGATGATATTGACCAAGATATCATTCTTCCCAAAACAAAGAGAAAGGGAAGGTACAAACCTTCTCCACCTCCTCAAAGGAGATCTGATCCAGACAATGGTCCACGGGTAGGAATCCATGGAAAAAAGAAACTCCTAAGTATCTACGAGGAAGGACTTCAAATCCTCAGGAAAGAAGGGTTGTTACCACCTGATGATCCAAATCTTATTACATGGTCACCAACAAACCATTGTAAACCGCTACACCCTCCAGCTGTTGCTCATCCAATACCTTGCTTTATGATTCAACCACAACTACAGAGTACGACCGAAAATTTCCTGCTTTGGAAAGAAAGATGGACCCAATCACAGGCAGAATATCCAAACCCTTCATTCATCCGAATGAAGTCCACCCGATGAGAAACTTAAACCTTTAACTCAAGCTAAAGAAGTTCTGAATTGGAAATTTGAAAATAAGGTTTCTCAAAATGGACGAAACAGATGAGGATCTCAAGATTTTATCCCAAAAAATGCAGAAATATTACAGAAGCTTGAAAGCCCAAGTACCCCAGCTAGATCGAGTTTGCAGAAGATATTAGAAGAGAGAACTTTTGGTAAAACACTTGACCAAAAGGAAAGAGAAATCAGAATTCTACAAAGCCAAGTAAAAGAGATAAATGATTTCTTAAGAGCCTCTCATGAAAGAAAGCCCAAGTCTGTTGAAATCTCTTTCTTTGATCCTCCTATTTTTCCTACATATTTCAAATGACTAGAAAGGCCTTCAATTTTCTACCCTAACTATGTTCCATCACCATCAAACCAGGTCAAATACATACCTATAACTTAAAGACCAAAATCTACTAGAACTACCACTACCTCAACCTCCAAGACAAAAGGGAAATTTTCCTGCTTGAGCGCTTCATCCTCAGACTCTCAAGATATCCCTGAAACACCTCCTCCAAAAATACAAAAGGAAGAAGAAGTTCCTAATAAAGGTTTCCAAGCCATGGCAATCACTACAAATTGTCAATCTCCCCGGAAAGATCATTCTAAATCATCAAAACAAAAGGGAGATAAGTCCTTCTCATATGGTGACAACAACTATGGTCCAAAATCATCTTCTGATGAAAAACCGAGATCTTTTCAACTAAATAAGAATCTGAAGACAACTATTTCCCAAGACTCTTCATGGAAAATGTAAAAGAGGAAGAATCCTTTTTTGAAGAAGAATCCCCTGAAGAAACTCTAGTCCATGAAAGGACTAAACCAAATGGAGGTCCATGATTCACTTTTGATGATATACCACCTAGCCGTTGGAGAAACAGACTACTTGAATTTGGAGCTTGGCTTGACACCTAAATGGTCAAAACAAGTACAAATAGCTATAAGATCATTGACGAATTTTGTTGTAGAATGAAGGGCACGATGAAAGAATGGTATCACAATCTTGGAGCTTTCAAACAAGATGAGTTGCATCGTCTAGAAACTACAGCTAGTGTTCTTGGGCTTCTTCACCGAGAATTTATCGGTGATATGGAGATATTTGATAGAAAAAACAGACAAGAATTCTTTGAGATGAAGTGTTGTTCTCTCAAAACAAAGGACCTCTACAAACAATATCATAGGATGGCATAGAGGTATTATGTCCTTAATGGGTACAATGACTATAGTCTCAAGAATACCTATGTATCATCTCTACCATAAGAACTTCATCCAGAAATTCATAAAATGTTAGCCACAACTTAAAAGGATATTAAAACCATGAGTCTTGGCCAAATTCACCAGGTAACATTATAAGCACTTGAAAAGCTTTGCAACTTCCATCATCAATATTCAGAAGCTATAGAACAAAAGTCAAAGTTCACCCAAGCATGTAAGAAACCCTACCTGGAGATTAAGTGTAAAGACAAAAGATTTAGCTGTCCAAAAAAAAAAGAAACATAAAAAACACACTAAATCTCACAGGACCTTCAAGGGAAAGAAAAGAAAGAATATAAAGTTCTTTAGAAGAATTCCTTTCAGAGGAAAGGGGGAAAATCAGAGATGCTTTATTTGTGGGAAAAAATGGCATTTCTCAAAAGAATGTCCTAATAACATCCATAAAGCCGCAAAACTGATTAACTCTCTTCAGCCTATAGAAGGAGACTTAGAATCTTTGTATTCTAAACAAAGCTCTGTTGATAAAGAAACGACTTTTTTTCTTCAAGACTCTTCGTCTGATGAAGCAACATTTATGGAGTTAGAAGATGACAAATATCTCCTGGTTTACTCCTTCAAAGAGATAGGCAGTTATTTGCCTACTACACCACTTCCTTGTGTTGAAGTCCATGTCCTTGCAACAAAGTTTTCTCGTCCGAAGAAAGTCATAGCTTATATGGACACTAGGGCCATGATTACAATGATAAATCCCAACATTCTCACAGCAAAATCATGGGTGACACATGCCGCATACTTTGCAGCAGCGGATGGAAAGGTTTTCAAGACAAATTTAACGACCAAGGAGAAAATAGGAATTAAATTCTTCCCAGACTGCATAGTCTGTACCAAGGTCATTGCAATAATCTTCCAAACAAAGATATCGCAGCAGGAATGGATGTTTATTCAACAGCAATTAAACTCCAAATTCTCCCCACAAGAATCAAATTCAAAAGAAAATTCAAACCTTATGCTGGCAGTAATCCATGTTTAAGTGATTTCTGCTTTACTCACTCTCTTTATTATATTCATACCATATGTACCCCTTCTTTCTGTACAGGCTCTGATACCACACTGTCCGAGAGCCTTACATGTCATGAAAACCAGCCTTAACGGTATCGTCATCAAATAGCCAACCATAGGCATAACACAGACTAACAATTAAAACTGAAATTTCATAACAGCAAGGACCGTAGTATGGATCAATGGTCAGACGTTTTTTGATACACAAGATCCTAAATTGGAGGCATGTGTATAGCATACTTGCATCTATGGGGGAATTATGATATGAATATAATAACTAAAGCTTTGAGGGAGAAAGAAAAGATTTTTAGAATATGTTTGTTCTTAAGCAAACAAGAGAGTTTATTTGTGAATGCTTTATGAAAATATGTCACAAGAGATCTCCTTTTATAGCCAAGGAGGTACATATAGGACAAAATCAACACTATTTACAAGCATGACATTTTTAATACTATATGAATGCCTTTTACAAAAGTCCGACACACTTATCACTTATGAATTACATTATTGTAGTCTTATTGCACAAAAAGACAAACTTTTACTATTCATAAACATGCTTGTGATATTTTAAGGAAACTTGTCCATTTATTCTTTGCAAATGGGTTCATGAGAGGGGGACATATTCTGGTCAGATAAATTTCCATAAAAAAGCAATCTCCATAGCGAGATGACTCACGCTGCCAACTGTCATCCATCATGTAGATTTGATTCCCTAATCTCATATTAGCTTCTTCCACTTGTCCTTCAGAGAATTCAACATCCATTGGAGAATCTGGTTTCTATTGTATGGTTTGAGTCGAGCTTTTTCCAACTTCTGGTCTTCTGAACTTTTCATGATGTATGCAAGTTGAACTATCATCAAGTTTCTTTGAATCATAGAGATTGATGTAGTTAACATGCTTCAGTAATTCCCCTGTGATTTTTAGATTGGGAGGATATTCATAAATGGTTTTCCATAGGTGAACATAACTCTTATAATTGAGCAGCTTAGTTACAGGATCTATCAAATAGGGCTTATGTAGAAAGAAAATAGACTTGAATTTGCCAATATCTTCTGAAGATAATCTTTGTTCTTTGACCTCGTCTATGACTGGTTTTAATTGATCTCTCCACCATTGTAATGGAGAATACCATTCATGAGTGATCCAAATCAAAGACTTGTGGTTCTCAGGATCCATTATATGTTGATACATGGCCTAAGTGGGAATAAGAACAGGCATATAGTACAAACAAGTGGCACACTAAATATACCACAAATGGTTTTTTTTAATGAATTTAGCAGTTGGGTTTATTAAAATTGGTAGGAGAAAAGGTGTATCTGGGAAATAAGGAGTATGATTTGGTAGTTTATTCCTTATGATTTTTGTCATGTAATAGAAGAGATTGTTCCTGGCATACTGCTTGAGTTGGGACGGTGAAGAGGATACAGTTATTCCTGGAGGAAGATTCTTGGTTTTGGATGCATGGATTGGTAGTGGTTTGACCATAAGAATTAGAGGCAAAATGTGCTTGGCTGTGATAATCTGGATAAGTTTCATAGGTCTGGATAGTAGATTAGGGATTACATTTTGGGTTCCTTTGATATGTTTTATAGAGAAATCATATTTGGAAAACAAATCTTTGAGCCTAAGAGTTTGAGGATCAGGAGGCATCTTATTTTTGAATTCAAGGATCTTAGGGAAAGAGGAGTTGTCCATCTGGACTTTAAATTGGTAGCCTCTTAGGTGGAAGTCAAACTTCTGGATTTCTATCTTTACGGCAAAGGCTTCTTTATAGGTGGTGTAGTAGTGTTTTTCAGCTTCTTTAAATTAGCCACTGGCATGACCACAATAGTATCTTTTTCCTTCAAGTTCTTCTATCGAGACTGCGACCCAATAATGATCATTGGCATCGGTCTGTATAACTCTTTTGCCATTTCTAGAGATTTTCAGGGCAGGAGGAGTTTGTGCGATCTTCTTCAAAGCTTTCATTGCTTTAGTTTGTTGTGTTCCCCATGGTGGAGGTTTTTTCTTTAGCATTTGGGATAGAGGACTCGTGTATCTCGCCAGTTTCGGCAGGAAATCTCATATATAATTAATTATACCAAGAAATTGTTAGATTTGCTTAACTGTGAGATTTTCATTAGGAAAGTTTAACAGTTCTTGGGCAATATGAGGCTGAGGTTGATATTTCCCTTGGGATAAATGCATCCCTAAGAAATCAATTTTTGTTTGTCCCAAATCATTTTCTTTTTAGAGAGCATCATTCCATGTTGTTGGGCTATTTGAAGAAATTGGTCCAATAATTGTTTATGGGTTTTTTCTTCTTTTGAGAACAATATCACATCATCAATATAAATAAGGATACTGTTGAGGATGGGCTCAAAAAATCTAGTCATGGCTTTTTGAAAGAGTGATAGGGCTACCTTAAACCAAAATGGTAACACATCCATTGGTACTGGGTGTTAGGAATGCAAAATGCCGTTTTGTAGTGATCCTCAAGGTCGATACCCAATTTCCAAAATCATGACTTAAGGTCGAACTTAGAATAGATCTGGGCATCTTTGATGAAAACATTTAAGGACGAGACTTTTGGAATGGGAAATTTATCATCTTTGAGAAAATGATTTAAAGGTTTATAATCAATTACTAACCTCTTTTTTCTCCTCAACTTTTCAGATCTCTTATCCACATAGAATGCTTGTCAAGCCCATTCCAATTTGGTGGGTTCTATCAGACCTTGTTTGAGCAGTTGGTTGCATTCTTCCCTAGCTAATGTGTAATCTGATGGACTCATCCCTGGATGAGTGGCCTTGGTTGGATTAACATCTTCATTGAGCTTGAAGGGAAGTTGAACGAAGAAGTCTTTATTCTCCCATAGAGGTTTTGGGTGGCGGAATTTTTCATGGCTGCCTGCACATAGTCTGAGAAGGTTGGACTTGATCTCTTCATAGCCAGCAGGAATCTTAGAAAGTGAATATAGTTTCAACATCCCAGAATAAGGTTTGAATTCTCTTTTGAATTTGATTACTGTGGAGGAAAATTTGGAGTTTAATTGCTGCTCAATAAACATTCATTCCTACTACAATATCTTTGTTTAGAATATTATTGCCAATGACCTTGGTCCAGACTATGCAGACTGGGGAGAATTTAATTCCTATTTTCTCCTTGATCATTAAATTTTTCTTGAAAACTTTTCCATCTACTGCTACAAAGTATGCGGCATGTGTCACCCGTGATTCTGCTGGGAGAATGTTGGGATTCATCATTGTAATTTGGGCCTAAGTGTCCATATAAGCTATGACTTTCTTCGGACGGGAAACCTTTGTTACGAGGACATGAACTTCAACACAAGGAAGTGGTGTAGTAGGAAGAGAACTGCCTATCTCTTTGAAGGAGTAAATTGGGAGATATCTGTCATCTTCTGACTCCAAAAATAATGCTTCATCAGACGAAGAGTCTTAAGGGTAAAAATTATTTCTTCATCAGTAGAGCTTTGTTCAGAATACAAAGATTCTAAGTCTCCTTCTTGAGGCTGAAGAGAGTTAATCAGTTTTACGGCTTTATGAGTGTTACTAGGACATTCTTTTGAGAAATGCCATTTTTCCCACAAATAAAGCATCTCTGATTTTTCCCCTTTCCTCTGAAAGGTTTTCTTCTAAAGAACTTCATATTATTTCTTTTCTTTCCCTTGAAGGTCCTGTGAGATTTGGTGTATTTTTTATGTTTCTTTTTTGTTGGAGAACTACACCTTTTGTCTTTACACTTAATCTCTAGGTAGGGCTTCTTACATGCTTGGGTGAACTTTGAATGTTGTTCTATAACTTCTAAAAATTGATGATGAAAATTGCAACACTTTTCAAGTGCTTCTAATGTCACCTGGTGAATTTTGGCAAGATTCATGGTTTTAATATCCTTTTAAGCTGTGACTAACATTCT